CCTCCTCCTCCTCCTCCCCTTGCTCCGTGCGATAGTCCTGGTCCCGATAGTCGCCGTCTCGGGGGAAGCCTGGCGGGCCAGTGGGGCTGTGCCTGTGCCGCCGCCGCCGCCTACGCTGAGTCTCGGAGCCCGGGGAGGCCTCGTAGGAATCCTGGCCAACAGAATGAGATGAGAGACACCAGACGGGTAGTCAGTCTGGGGTGGGCCTGGGGGTTGGCCACTGGCTCTCTGAGGCAGGCAGGCTCTGAAAGCCAGGGGTGGGCGGGCTCCGGCGAAAGGCTTGGGGCAGGCAGGGTGGGTAGGCCCTGTACTGCAACCCTTCTGGGGTTGGAAATTCTCCCCGGGATGATTTTGGGGGCTGCCTTGGTGGGGAGTGGGGAGAAGCTGGTGGCAGTGTTGGAGTGGAGGAGGAACTCCCACAGACAGGTGGCCAGACACTGCTTAAATCTCCTTGGGAAGAGACAGTCTGAGGTTGGCACACTAACCCCTGCCCTCTGTTTCTCCCCCCTCCTCCCTAGCCAGCTCAGCTAGTACGTGCACAATTGTTTCTTGTAACACAGAAGGCCACACATCGCTTGTGATGCCCAGCCTGGGCCTGGGACTGAGCCTGCAACCAAGTTGTGGGTATAGGAATAGCTTAAGATCTTGGTCAGAGCCACCCAGCAGAGACTAGCAAATGTGCAAGGCCACAGCACTGCCTCCTGGCCCCTGATCCTCTGCCTGGCCAGTCCATCATCACCAGGCTTCCTCCTAATAGGGTGGTGGCTGGTTTCTTGGGTGTTGCCTAACCCATCCTTCCAGGACTAAGCAGGCCAGGCCTGGGTCCACACTCCTCCCACCCTCAGGGGCCAGATGATTCAGTGCTTCACTATTCTTTCCAACCCAGATGCCACTGGGAAAGCTTGGCTGCTTACTACAGGAGTCTCTGCATTGGGCCCCTCAGAGGGAAGCCAGCAGCCCACACTCTGCCCTCCCAGGGCTAAGGCTGCAAGAGTACCCTTCCCACCCCACCAGATAAGAGAGTTGTCTGTTTGCTTAGATCAGGGCCCTGATTGCCCCCTCAAACTCGGGTTTCCCTAAGGTAAGGCTGCTTCTTCCCCTCAGCTGGGGGCTCCCAGGTGGTGAGCATCATGCCTTCCTCCTCACTCTAGGGCTAACTACTAACATGGAACACAGAGGTGGGGCCTCAGGAAGTCCTTCCCTTATGTCTAGGGGCTCTGCCACCACCAGGAATGCCTACAGTTGGTCTCCCAGAGCTGCTGTGCTTGGTGATAACCAGGTTTCCATTTGCTTTCCCAACCCTAAACACTGAGTGCCATTAAGAGGCTCTTGAAGAGCCCTATATTGGCTGGAAGCAGGCAGTACAGGACTTGCAGTGAACTGTGGGTCCAAACTAAATGCTAGGGAAGAAGGAAGAGAGGTGGTGGCAAGGGGCCCTCAGAAGTACAGAGCCAAGCATATGGAAGTCAGGGAGACCCAACTTGGGAGAGGAGCCCTCAGAGGGGGAATGGGGACAGACCCTCCAGGTGAGGCAAAGCCACTGAGCACAGTCCAAAGGCATGGGAGCTGAAAGCTACCTGCAGCCAGATGGAGGCCCTGCAGGAGCTACCCTGCCCCCTCCCCACCAGGCCTGGCTGGCCCTCCTGGCCCTCACCTCTGCACTCTGCTCCTCAGATGAGTCGTCATAGTCGTGCTTGCCCTCCTGGCTGCCATACTCGCGGGGGTATGAGCGGTAGTCCATGTCCCGGTAGTCATGGTCCCGGCTGCGGTTCTCCCCACTGTCGTCCTGGGAACGGTCGGTGGCTCCATAGCGGCCAGTCCTGTCCCCACGACCACCTCTGGGGGAAGAAAAATGGCAGGGATTAGAGGCAGTCCTTTCTGAAACGTGCAACAGGTGAGGCTGACCCCTACCCGCTCACTCTTTCTAAACCCTCAGCCTCTGACAGGGGACCCTAAATCTTGACCTCATGGGATGAGCAAGCTCCCACCTCTCTCGCAAATCTAATCCACTTCTGTCCTTCCCTCCCTCACCTCTCCAGTCCATGCTGTCTTCCTTCACTGGGCCCACAGGTGTAGACTCCTGACCTCCACCCAGGACTCCCCAGTTCATTCTCTACACCCCAAATGTGAGCAAAGCCAATTGAGCCCAATCGTATCGCTCCCTTCAGTGGTTTCCTCTTAGTCTCAGTATAAAACAGCAAAATGCTCACCAAGGTCCTACAAGGTCTGCAGGGTCTGCAGGGTCTTGCAGGCCAAGGTCCCTGCCACTCTCTCTCTCTCCGCCTCATCGTGCACTGTGTCGCCTCACCTGTGTTTCAGTCACCTTGCTAGCATTAGCAGCTGTTTTGTTAAAACTTCTACTGCAATAACTAAAGTAATTACTGCAAAGTTGATTTAATGTGCATTTCTTTGATGATTTAAAAATTACTAGACTGTGAGTCCTGGGAAATGTAGGAACTACACCTGTTTGGGTTATTGCCCTAGTCCCCAAAGCGTACCTTAGTGCCTAGTACTCAGTAGGTGTCTAATAATTTATTTTTTGATAAAATGATTAAAAAAGTATTCTAAAAGCAACTAATACATGTTTACTTAAAACAAGGAAAAATAGATACCGTATAGACACCGTACTACTAGCAGGAGGCCAATCCAGGTAAGGAACAACACTAGCATGTCTATTATCAACGCCATTATTAACATTATTCTAGGATACTAGCTAAAACAACTAAACAAAGGAACGAAGAAAAGAGATTAAAAGCTAGAAAGGAGAAGGTAAAATCACTATTATTTGTCAATGATATGAAGATATGCCTGCAAAGTCTAAGAGAATCAACTGAAAAAGGATTACAAGGATTCCGGGTACAAAATTAATATACAGAAATAAATATATTGCCTTTATTCAGAGAGCTGCTGTTTAGAAAATAGGAAGATCCCAAGTATAACTGCATCGAAAAGATTAACTACTAGACATGTGCAAGATCTTATGACTATTTCACACATATAAACCAGGATACATTTGAAATGAGTCAATAATTGATTGATTTTTTAATCCTCACCTGAGGGCATGCTTAGAGAGAGGAAGGGGAAGAGAGAAAGGGAGAAAGAAGGAGAGAGAGGGAGGGAGGGAGAGAGGAGAGAGAGAGAAACACTGATGTGAAAGAGAAACATCAATCGGTTGCCTTCCATACATGCCCCAAACTTATGGTGCACAGGACAAAGCTCAACCAACTGAGCCAATCCAGCCAGGCTGAAATGGGTCAATGATTTAAAAGAAATGAAACATTTAAAAGTAGAAGAAAACATGGGATAATTCCTTGGTAATCCTGAAGTGGGAAAAACTATGACACAAATCCAACAGCCATGGAAGAAAAGATGATTAAATCAGAATACATGAAAATAAAACACATCTGCTTGGAAAAAACAAAAACAATCATAAGCCAAGTCAAGACAGGCAATAAACTGGGAAAAATACAAGAAAAGGAAAAAGGAACAGAATTCAGAGTAAAGAAGTACAAATGATTTATATTTGAAAAGTTGCTCTACCTCAATCATAATGAAAGGTGAAAATTAAAACTACATTGGATAGACCATTTTAAAATAAACATTTAAACTTTATTTTTGTGTATTTTTCTAAATAATTTTATTGCAGTAAAATATACAACACAAAAATGTATGATGTTAATCTTTTTTTCTTTTTTTTTAAATATTACAAATGTCCCTTTATCTCCCCAATCCCTCTCCCCACCATTGTCCATGTCCTTGGGTTGTGCACTTATGCATATAAATTCTTTGGTTACTCTCCCCCCCTCCACCCACCTGCCCTCCTCCCTCCCTCTGACATTCGTCAGTCTCATCTATGCTTCCATATCATTGAATCTATTCTGTTCGTCAGTTTATTAAGTTCTTTAGATTCCACATATAAGCGAGATCATGTGATGTTTGTCTTTCTCTGCCTGGCTTATTTCACTTAGCATAATTTTCTCCAGGTCCATCCATACTGTTCCAAAGGGTACGAGATTCTTCTTTACAGCTGCGTAGTATTTCATGGTGTAAATGTACCACAGCTTTTTTATCCACTCATCTACTGATGGGCACTTGGGCTGTTTCCAGACCTTAGCTTGTTAATCATTTTTAAGTGTTCAATTCAACAGCGCAAAGTACACTTGTAACATTGTGCAACCATCACCACTGTTTCCAGAACCTTTCACCATTCTGGAAACTCCAGACTCAATGAACAGTAACTCTCCACACTACCACCTCTATTCTACTTTCTACCTCTATTAATTTGCCTATTCTAGGTATAATATCTCTTTTAAGTGGAATCACATGTCCCTTTATGTCTGACTTATTTCATGTAGCATAATGTTTTCAAGGTTTATCCAAGTCGTAGAATGTATCAGAATTTCATTCCTTTCTATGGCTGAATGTGTATATATGGTATACACCACATTAAAATTTTTTTTAAATCCTCACCCAAGGATATGTTTGTTTGTTTATTTATTTTTAAAATATGTCTTTACTGATTTCAGGGAGAGGAAGGGAGAGAGAGAGAAGAGATAGAAACATCAATGATGAGAGAATCATTGATTGGCCGCCCCCTGCATGCCTCCGACCGGGGATCGAGCCTGCAACCCGGGCATGTGCCCTGACCAGGAGTCAAACCCCGATAGCCTGGATCCTAGGTCGACGCTCAACTGCTGAGCCACACCCGGCCGGGCAAGGATATGTTTTTTTAAAAACTGACGAGAGAGAGAGAGAGAGAGAGAGAGAGAGAGAGAGAGAGAGAGAGAGAGAGAGAGAGAGAGAGAGAGGG